ATTTAACTGGCCTATCTCGAAACAGATAATAAATATAATAAATAATAATAATAATCAAATAATAATCAATTAATCATGAAGGCACAGTGAGTAAGGTGGAGTAAAAGTAGTAATGCAGTATCAAACAATATTTAATAGTATTTCCCAATATTACAACACAAAATATAAGTTTATTAAAATATAAAGTTTTTAAAAGTGAAGTATCAAAGGAAGTTTACTTTTCTATTCAATATTTATTAAAGTATTTCGAATTATTCTGAATTATTTCTAATTATTAATTAATTTCTGATTAACTTGTGACTGTTATTAATTGACTCTCACTAACTTACATACTTACTTCCAACAACAGTTGTATTTATGCTTTCTCTTTTGTTTACACTTCATCCTTCATCCTTTGTACTTCATTCTTCATTCTCTGTGCGTCATCCTTCACATCCTCATATGGATGGCTACACAAAGATGACAATCACCTGAAAGTTCATCTAGTGTCACAGAATATCATCCTCCGTGACATTTCATCTGATTACCAATTTGCTTCGCCACAATATTTCATTAATGAATAAAAAAAATAAATAAAATATTTTATATTTATTAATCGTACAGATCGCATTTATCATAACAAGGATTCGTATCTTAAATGAAAAGTGTGAGAAATAATGTGAAATCCAAGAATCATAATTGATAAGAATAGGATAAGAAAGATCAGATTGTACAGAGAGAGCAAGCTTTACTAATTAATAGTGGTTTAGCTTGGTAGTGAACTTGTTGGTTAAATTATATGAATGATTATAAATATTAAAGATAAAATATAAAATATAGAAAGAATTCAATTAAACAAGAATAATATTAATTTATTTAAATAATTAACAAATAACTAAATCAATAATCAAATTAAAATAAAATAACAATAAACTAAAAACAATCAAAAATTAATAAATCAAAATAAAAGAACAAAAGGTGTACAGGGTTCCGTAATGAATGTTGCACCACCGAAACAAATATAATATTTTAATTATTCGTTATATACAATATGTTTCACTGCATCCTTTGTGACATAAATTTACTTGTTTTTCTATAAATTTCCTTTTTTTTCATAATTTATTATTTTTATCATTATTGCTTTTTTATTTCGGTTTATCATTGAAAATGTCATGGAGAAACGATATTAAAGTCGTTGTAGCAATTGGTAAGTTTGAATATCATATACACATATATGATTTTAATTTATAATCTTATTAAAATTTCCCTTTTATCGAATAATACAGAGTTTGGAACAAAATATTCAGTAAGTTATAGAGTGGTTTATCAAAAAAAAAAAGAATAAAAATTTATGAATAAGCTTTTTTGTGAAAATCCAATAAACTAAATTATCGAATTATCTTTACATAAATATATCAGAGTTTCGCATATGCGGTGTGTTTATGTTTTAATTTTAAATTCTGATTTTTGCGAGAAAGAGAAATATAAATACTATGATAAATTTTTATTGATAGCATAAATTAAATCCCGAAATAATAACCAACTATAATTGGGTAAGTTTTTAATGAAAGTTATTTGTGACATATTTATCAAACTTAAATTTTTCTTTGGCATATTATTATTATTATTAAATAGCCTGAACAATTAGGTGCTTTAAGAACAAATACTGCTTTAAAATATGATGAAAAATATGAAAATGTATTAGAATGGGGTTATCCGGCATTGGGTAAAAAATTTCAACGAAAAGGTCGTTACGGCAGGAACAAGAATTTTTCTAATGAACCTGTTGAATTATTTAAACTTCATTTGAGCGCAATGCCTGATTCAGAAAAACCTCCGTTGCCTAAATTATTGAATTATAAAAAAGCGATTACAGATTTTTTAAGAGAAATTGGTAAGTAAAAGCTTTAATTTTAATAATAAAATTATCTTAAAATTAACTGATATAATTATATTTTTCTTAATAAATATAATAAATTAGGAAAGGTATAGAATTTGGATATTATATTATATTATATTGTAATCTTTACTCGAAATTTTATTAAATATTTTTCGCTCTTTCTTAAAAAAGTTAATTAAATCAACTATTGAATTTCGTTGGCCTACTGTTAACTTTTTGGAAAATGTATTGATAATACTCACAGTACCTGAAGAATATCCTATAAAATCATTAGGAATATTAAGAGAATGTACATATAATGCTGCATTAATTAGTTATTTGACTTCAGAAAAATTACAATTTATTACTGAACGTGAGTTTTATTCTTAAATTTAATAATATTAACTGTATTAATTCAATAATAATTACATAAATTTTATATTTTTTAATATTTTTAGTTGAAGCAGCTGCAATACATTGTATGCAAGTATCAAGAGAACATTTTGGAACATCTAAAGGTAGTAAGTATTCATTGAATTTTATTTAATTACTTTAATTTTGGTACTAAAAATAATAATGAATCTATTAATTATTATTATTATTATTTATTGTAATTATTATTTTTATAGAAAGTTCTCTGATTGTTAATTGTGATGAAGATACTGTGCATTTAATTACATGTAAATTTTTATCATCCAATGTTCTAGGTGAAGTCACTGAACAAACTGGTGATCTTTGTGGAAGTAATTATGTGGATAAAGAATTTATTAAACTTTTGAAACGTGTTGCGGGTGACGAAGCAATAAAAATATTTGAACAACAACATTATGGTCAAATGCAATATTTGATGCAGGAATTTTCTAAGAGATTAAAATTTTATTTTTCTGGATTCAAAAAAGATTTTAACCTCTATGAACTCGATCTTGAAGATGTCTGTCCTGCGATTAAACAGTGTGTTACTGGATAATATAAAGAAAAATTAGAAAACGCTGATTGGATAATCGAACTTGATTTTGAAACTGTAAAATCACTTTTTGATCCTTTTATAGAGAGAATTATTAGACTGATTTCAGGACAGCTTAATAATGTGTGTAAATGTGATGTTTTGTTTATAATAGGTGACTTTAGTGAATCAAGATATCTCCAAATGAGAGTTCGTGAAGAATTTGTAGATAAAGTAAAAAGCATTGCTGTTCCTAAACAACCTCAAGCAGCAATTGTACGTGGTGCACTTGAATATGGGCTTCAAAAACTCGAGGGGTAGATGAATCTTTTGGTCAAATTTTCCAACCTTTTGATTATATAATAAAATTACAAAATGGGACATATTGTAATTGTAATGAAGAATGAATGTCATAATTAGGTGAAATCGTATTTGATATGATATTCCAGATTTTCATTTAGGAAAGGAAAGACTTATAAATTTAGATTACTATTATTACTATTGGTAGAATGAAATTACTGCAAATGCTAGAAATCAAATAACTGGTCATCATCATGAATATAAATCTTCATTCTAATTTTTGTATTTTATTTTTTTTATTAGTATTGTTTTTAGAAAATTTAAGTTAATGTATCTATTTCAATGTCAAATTTTGTTCATATATATTTCTTCTTATCTTTTCTCTTTTGTTTTTCGATATTTTCTTCTGCATTTTTTATTCTCTATAATTATTCCCATAATTAAAGATTTTATATCATAAGACAAACAGAGTACCTAATGAAGCACAATGAATAATTTGTTGCCTCTCATTTAACGCAATAAACGTAATAAATGCAATAGATGATTAAAATATTAATTTATAATACATTCAGAAAGTTCATGACGATCATCACTACGCACGGTTGCAAGAAAATAATTATAAATTTTCTCATTTCACATAATAATCAATAATTACAATAATTATAATAATAAATACAATCATGCTACAAATGCTAATTATGCAAATGATAGTATATAATTATGCTAATGTTACAAATATTGTTAATGTTAACAAATGATCTTGCTGTAGCTTCTATATATATAGATAGTTATAGATATTATGAATATGTTTTACTTTTAAATGATTTTAAATTATTAGAATTATTGGAATTAATCTTCATGAATAATTTTTATAATAAAATATTATTCATATTAGAAAAGAAAACTTGTTCTTATCTTATGATTATTCTTCTTCTTAGGCTGCGATTGAGAATAATGATTATTTAAACTCCCTCGATATCCGAGTTACTTATAATATGGATCACCTTTTACTCGAATTCTGGGTATTTATTACAAATAAGATGACATGCATGCACACGTGCGCAGTAATTTATTTCACGTCCTTATTATTTCTCAAGCATTTTACAATTACAAAATCTATATCGCTCTGGCTTAAGTTTGAAATAGAATACAACGAAAATGATCTAATTAGTGCTATTTTTTGTTTCGCTATTTTTCATCACCATTAACAATAGCAGTAAAAAGCTTATATATTTTCCGAGCTCTTTCCATTCTCTTTCGCAATGCAGTATCGCTCACTTTTGGATTTTGTTTCGTAACGTCATCAAAAACTAAAGCATTGGATGATTCTTTACCATTATCTTTTTTGTACTCTTTATATCGTTTATATAAACCCCCACCTAAATCAAAATAGCTATTAATTACCTCTTGGTTTGTGATTTCGTTCCTAGATTCGGTGTAATCAATTTTTTTGAATAATATAAAAAATTAATCCCGTCCCCTTCCGGAGCACTCTCTTCAACAACTTCGTCAACCTGTGGATGAATATAGTTAGATAGCAATTCATCAATAAGCTTTTTCAGGTTTGCTGATTTTTCTCTATCGACCGGTTTAACTTCCTTCTTTGCCTTCTTACTGGACGATTTCTCTGGTGCCGTGGTTGTTTCTTCACTACTAACTTCGATAGGTCTTTTTTGGGATCCTCCGGCTATATCTATGTCTTTACCCTTCGAATTATTTTCTCCATTATCCACATCCGACATCTCTTCATCAATAATTTTCTGAGATTGGATAGTAAGTTGCTTTCCCATCCTCCCAACTATTGACGAAGTGCTGGATTCTGATTCGCGTCTAAGATCCGTTTCAGTTGTGGTGGTTTCGGTAATAGTCTCGACGCTTTTACCACATTCGGGACACCCATTTGGTTTTGTAAGCAGAAGTTTCTTCTCAATGCAGATTCTATGGTATGTATGTCCGCAAACTAGGACCGTGAATGCTTTATTGGGACTGGAAAAAATCTTCTTATCACATACTTTACAGTTAGGCATCTCGGTCAATTTCTTATTTTTTTACCGCATCGTCGTTGAAGCTTTTTAAGATAGTATATGCAAGGTTTTTTAGAATAGTAGTTGAGACTTTTTCCGTTCTCGGCATAATGGTCACATAAAACAGATAAGTTCTTGAACTATGGACCTTTACACATTTCCTTATACTCTCATATGACGCTCGAAATTTACATAACCCTACTATAATTAGCACTACATCCGAAATTTTGCAAGAGGGGGGTAAAGTTTTATTATAGCAGAATCGAAAAGGGAAAGTCGAATTTAGGATCGGCGAAAAAAATCGTTTAATCCAATGATCGTATATCTGAAAAATTAGGTTGCACGAGATTTATAATCACGTGCAAGTCTGAAATTTACTTGACACGATTACACCAAATGGAAGGTCCAGAACAAAGAGGAGAAGGAAGCGGACAAGAGACCTTGAGATCAGAAGTACAGTATAGTAGAAAAGTTAAAAATGCGGTTTTTTTTTACCTTTTTTAAATTTGAATCCTAACGGGTTTAAATATTACTATAACTAACGACTGATTTATATTAGGCGTCAATGATATATTCAAAATTTGACTTTTTGGATAGACCTTGGTGGAAGCCCTCTTTTAATGAACGCGATGCTAATTATTTTGTCTTAAATGCCAAGCGCCTCCAACATGCCATATCATTAGCAGTTAACGAAACTGACGCGCTCTTTTGGAAAGGATATATTGACCTTCATCGTGAACATTATCTGCTCGAATGTATTTCTGCAGAAAGTGACGTTGACCTCACTATCGACTTTATACAACAGGCTCTAAAAAAACCTGGTATTCGTAGAGTGTTTTTGAGCTGGCTTTGCGGAAAATTTTTTGCATCTTGTCTCATACCCGAAAGATCTTTACATATGACTAAAAAAGTGAAAAATGTCCATTACACCATTATCAGAATTTTTCCATCAATCTTCTTTCCTGATCTTCAGCTAGATAAGTTTACACCTTCGTTTGCACAAAATTTGCATCGACAAATTGGAAATGAGTTGATCAGTAACGTGGGTCAGTATAGAACGCGACACGTTATGGCTGTACAAGAAAACTATGTATATTTAGCACCGGATTTGATCGAGGGTAAAATGAACGAGTTATCCTGTCAATGTAGAGAGAAATTTGAAAGGACAGACTTACAGTTGGAGGAAGCTATTAAATACGGTGCATGTTTTCTTGTCTATTTCTTGACGATTCACCCTTTTATAAATGGAAACGGAAGAGTAGCGAGGTTACTTTTAAGTTATATCTTATCAAAGTTTACTGTGGTACCTCTTTCTTTATATACAGGAGCTAAAACACGGGATGTGTATTTACAATGTCTCCGTGAAGCACGGTATCAAGAACCATTTAATCCTAGCGCACTTGCAACCTTTATACTTGAATGTGTATACAAGACGTTTTATAACATGTGCGTAACGATGGATATCAATATTCAAAATTAATATAGTTGTCATTCTGTTATGAAGTGATAATAAAAAAAAGAATGTAACCATGGTTTAAATTACAATAAAAGTATCTTATTTCGGTATGATTTAAAAATTAAAATTCATGCTAATGTGGACATTATTATTGTTCTGCTAATTGAATTTTGAACTCTCTAAATTCTGGATTACAACATATACGCTTTCTATTATATAAATTATTTTTAACACGGAATATAAAGTTTTCCCAATAGTATTTGTTAATAATTTCATATCCAGGTATTAATAAATAATGTCTCAATTTTTACATTTGGGTAACGGATCAATATATTTATGAGATCATTTTGATAAGTTTAACTTGTATTGATCAATATATGTATAACGCAATAAAAACTTTGATCTCATCACAATTTATGAAGTGACGTGAAGGATGATTTAGTTGATGACATATTTGATTTATATTTTTTTGGTGACGGGCTGTCGCTGAAATCTTTGTTCTTTAGTTATGCATTTTAAATAAATAATAAGATATATACAATCTATTACTAAAACATGCAATCTGAGATTGATTCATTAAGACAATGAATTTCTGAGCTCGAAGCTGAAAAGACTGAGCTTGAGGCAAAAAATGCTAAACTGATAAAACAGGTTATGGAAGAGGATGCCAAGCGAGAAGCTGAAAATGCTGAGCTCAAGGCCAGGATCACCAAATTGGAACAGATCGCAGAAGAAAATACAGAGCTTAAAGATAGAATCACGAAATTTGAACAGAAACAGATCCAGATTATTACTAATGGACAGGAAGCGTCTCCTACAGAAGATATTTCACCACTTATCAAGGGCCTTTCTTATAAGAAGAAAGATATTACCCCAGATCCCTTGCCTGAAAAAGAATATAGCTCAACCCAACCTGAATCATTAACAGAGCCTGAAACATTGACAACTTCTTTACCACAAGATATTATTCATGACGATTCAGCTGAGATCCTAGATTTTGTAGAAATTATATATAAGGAAAGGATTAGTGGCAAGATAAGAGAGAGGAACCGGAAAAAAAAACTTCAAGAATCACATAATAACTTAACCCCTCCAATACAATCTGAAACATCAACCATGTCAACACCTGAAGCTCCAGACTTAAAAACTGAGAAAAAGCTTTTGAATCAAAATCAAGGTAAAAGCCAAAATGAAACATCCCAATCGTATAAGAAAAAGGGAACAGAGAATATTGTACAAGTAATAGCTAATGGCATTCAGGATGCACTTATGCACAACTCTGCTGATAACATTCTTTCAGATCCAAATCATGTGACAAAAATTTCAGTGATGACCTGTTGTCAAAATTCTTCTCCAATTTTATTACTTGATTTAGCTCAATTATTTGATAAAACAACTGATACTAAACATTACGCTATGAAAGCAAGCCAGGAAGAAACCTTATGCTGAATTAGTTACGAGAAAAAATTTATAATTCAGTATAATGATCTTATAAAAAATAAAAATGGAAAAATTGGTGAGAAAAAAGCTAAAGATATAATTTATGACAAAATATTGGAGCACCTTAATATCATCCGTGAAAGAAGGTCCAAGGAAATGGAATTACAGCTCCCAGAAATTTCACACAAAACTTTATGCAAAAAGATCCAAAAGGTCATAAGGACTTATAAATTATTCGAAAAAATAAGCATAGATAAAATTAAGTATCTTAAAGTATATAGTGCAAATTCTATTTCAGAATTGACCAACAGACAAATTCAGAAGATTATCGATAATATTTCTGATCATGATGAAAAGGAATCAAATTATATAACTGAAATTTCAGTGATAGTCTGTTGCCAAAATCATGCAACCGAAATTGTAAGTACATCTGTTGAATTAACTGAGATAAGTAAGGAAGTCAAGAAAACTTTACTAGAAATAGAGTAAGTATATCTACTGAGTCTTGAGAATCAGAATTATTAAAGACCTCAGTAAGTACTTCAGCTAAAGCAAATGTATTAACCAAGCCAACCAAACCTATAATCTGTGGACTGGTATATTTTGGCTTCTCCAATTATTTCGAAAATGAGATAAATACAGATTTTAAGCCTATTATTTATAAAAGCAAACCAAGCGAAGAGTTAATTATTAAAGCTGTAATAGAGCAAATTCTATACTCAACTCTTAGAAATAGTTTTTGAGGATTTGATAATTATAAATTTATTGAAGAAGAATCATGTTTAATTTGCAATAAAGAATATTTGAAAGGTATACTATATAGTGAATAGTATAAAAATAGGTATTATCTAAGCTGTAATTATTCGAATGGTAAAAAACTCAAATTCACATCAGTAGAAACCTAGAATTCATATTTCTCGGTATATAATTTGCATTTCACAAATTCAATATGGAAAAAAAAAATTAATACTTTTTTAGAATTTATTACAGAGAATATAAACCGAGTTCACAATGTCATATGGTTATTGCAGTAAAATTTATTCTGGATATTTTTTATAACAATCATTTTTATATGTCAAAGACACTAGCTCCACTATATTTTTCAGAAAAATTGTGTATAAATATTTTTTGCTTTATTATATCTGATAATTAATAATATACATGTATTTTAGAAATTCAGATGTAACATCCATATCACTGGCACAGTAATAAGGTACAGTAGCAATTATTCTTGATTGTATAATATAGGTGAGGCATACATACAATATCACAGGCACGAAAAAAATCCGATTTAATTATTATAGTTTATTAATGTATTTAAAACAATATTATAGGAGTGTCAGATGATGCATTTCCAAATATACATATAATTCCGAATAATCGAACACCCCCACTACAATATCTTTATATATATTCTTGACTATAACAAAGTTATTTTTTGAATCGTATATGTGGCAAAATCAAAGAAGAGTGATTAATAATTATATAAATTGATAGTATTTGAGTTATAGATCCGTAACAGCCTTGCTTCTTCAGGTTTTTGTCTAATTTTTCGATAATTCACAACAACATAATTTTGTACTGGAGAAGTAAAATTATACAGATCATGTCTTAAACATTATCCAGCTATTGTGTAAGCATTGGCTAGATTCTTAGCTTTATTCATTAATATACCATAAACTGCCTCTATTTTATATAAATAATAGAGAATAAGATCATAATTTTTTAAAAATCTATTAAATCATTTAACTCCTAATTTACCCGAGTCACCCATTTGACCAGAAAATATAGTATTCTGAATTCAAGTAAGTAATTCTTTGGCTCATTCTGGATCTTTTCCATTGATTTAAAATCCTTCGGAATGTCTTCTTACCTCCTGTTTTTTGCATAACCTGTTATCCCATTATCTGTAATACGTAAAGATATAAGTTCAGTGGAATAGATACAAAGCATTATCATAACATCAGCAAGAGCTTGTAAATCAGGTAGTATAGATATATTATACTTATCTAATCTTTCCTTAACTAACTCCAATGTAAAATGGTCTGGATAATTAAATTTCTCAAAAGCTTCGACATATTTTTGTCATTTTTCTGGATCTTATTGGCTCCTTCTGTAATCTCCAGAATTTTTGTTACTTCTATTATTTTGATAGAGACATTAAGATTTTGCAACTCTTTTCGAAGATGTGAAAATCTAGAAAATCCAATATTTACATTTGAGGTCAATAGTGCTATGGCAAGAGCTTCAGCTTTCACATCTCTTATACTCAGTTTATCTCGTAAAATTCGTTGAGCCATATCTTTAATAGTTTCTTCTTCCAAACTTTGTGAAGTTCCATTATAGGTTATAACCACTTTGGTATGAGCTGGTAAATTTGTGCTATGACTGCCTCTGGTAATATTTATAACTTTATTTTTACACTGTTCATTTTTCTGAGATGTATTAATAATTTTGTTATAGTCCTGAAGTAAGTTATTCACTCGCTTCTCACTAAATTTATATTTATCATGCAAAATTTCTATAGATTTTTCTCTGATATTTTTATCTATTATATCTGCTGCAATTTGGTCTAAGATTATGAGGTTTATATCTTTGCTTTTGCCATTTTTCTAGTTAGGTATCATTATACTTATCTGTTTACTGCTAAATTTATATCCATCTCAAAAGCACCTTTGAACATGGTCTCTTTTTTTATTATTCGAAAGGACATTAAGTAATTTTGATGCATATTGACTAAACTCAAAATTGTTCATCTGTGAATTGAAGTTATATTATTTGACAAATTTTATTACGATGGTGAACATGTTTTAGATTTTAGTATGTCAAATAATAGGTTATATTGTTTTGTATATATGTTATAGGATATATTTTTTTAATTCGAAATTAATTATGTATCCTTGACACTAGGCTCTATCCATCCTAATATATTCTCAAAAAAATCATCGATAAATACCAAGTGCATAATATATATTCGAGTTGAAAGTTAGATTTGTCAATTTGAAATCTACTAACATATAGAATATAACAAAAAAATTTTATAACATTTAACTCAATTTATTTTAACAATGAGGGTAAGTAATTTATCATAACATACCATTCTCTTTTAGCATGCTAATCGTTTTTTTTCATTTCTCATCAGTATCCAATCATGATAAGGAGATTCTTTTATCTTCAAGATCACGATGAATTATTTCTTATTCTATTAATCTTTCATGAACTTTCATATCCATATATTCTTCAGGATCTTCTCCACCTTCTTTTGTGTGGCCACACATTCTTGTATCAATTTTTATCCTATCCTTAAATGATATTGAATCGAGTTTATCTTTCTCGGTTATAGTCATAAACTTATTGGGATCTTCTTTATGCTCGACTGCTAACTTTCTTAAACATGTCTCATGATGCTCTTTGGTTCAAATGAGGAAGGTAGTGCTTCTGGTTTGGGAACACTTCATTGCTGAATTCTAGGTCATTATTTATAGGTGGGTCAGAAAAGATCTTGAATTTATCATTCGTTGATTTAACAATCTCGAAAGAAAATTCAGGTTTATTGTCCACATCTTTTATATATATGATCTCGAAAAAAGGTTCAGGTTTATCGTCTACAGTTTCTACATATATGATCTCAGATATGGTTATATTGGTAAACCCGGATGACAAAGTAATTGAAAATTCCAGTTGATCTATTATTGAATCAAAAAGATCCTGGGTCATGTTAGTAATAGGAGCAGGTGTTGCATCCTTGCCTTTTTTGATATAATTGACGTTTGATAGAACAGGTTCTACTTTTTCTGGTTGAAATATTATTTCGAGTACATCAAATATAGGAATATCTGTAAAGCTATTAGTGATTATTTCAGTTTGAGGTGAGTCTGAAAATTCTTTTACATTGATACCTAATTTATATAGTTTATTTACAATTTTGGATTAATCACGAATATATTGCCATTCTCTCTTTCCACTGTCAGCTCTTTTATATTTAATATTTTTATCTGGTAACTTCTTATAATAAATGTTATTAGTTAATGGTTTTTCTTCATTTTCTCCACACCATTCAAGATATTTTTGGTATAATGCTTTTTTACTTAACTCAACTGCACTATCCTTAGCTCAAGTTACAATAAAGTCAATTATAAATCAAATAGGATTAGGAAGCTGTTCACGTATTATATCTACTTTCATTTTAGTAGCAAGAATATCTTGTGGATTACAATCTGAAAGATCAAGACTAAGTAAATAAGCCATAACTATACTAGATATATCAGGATGTTTTAACATTTTAGTCAAATTCTTAAAATATGTTGTATAACCTTTACAACGAGAAAATACATTAAAACATATAACACGTCGGTCACCCATTTCTACTCAGAGCAGATATCATGATTACTTAATACCATAAATTCAGCATAATCTTTTAAAACTTTGGGTTTAAGTCCTTTGCACTTAATTGTTAAATAATCTTCTGTAATAAGTGATTTAAGATGATTGTTATACTTATACCAATCTCTACTAGACATTCCTGTTTCATTCATAATGATTAATTTACAGGCCTAAATGCAACTATTAAAATGTTCCAATATTTTTTCAAGGTTAGATATTGCATAGAAAAGTTCAGAATTCAGAATTTGTTTATCTATAAAATCGATTAAAATATTTTTTCCACAGTCTGATAAAGAATACAATACTGAAATAGTTCCAGGTTTTTTAGATGGTTGTTGTATTAGATATGTTATCCAGTACCAAAAATATTTACTAAGTCCTTCATTTCTATCAGGGATTATATTTTTTGCATGCCATAGAATTGGATCCATCATATCTGAATTAATCTCAATTGTTGGTTGGGCTTTGAATTCTAGAAAGAGGTTAAAGAACTTGGTATTTGTTGGAGAAGTATTTGTAGGATATAGTAGAAAATCAATATTACGATAAAGAATTAGACCTTTTGTAACTGCTCGGCTTATTAATGATTTTAATTTGATTGATTCCTCCTGATATTCTGATATTTTAATTTCATACTTGACAAAATCTAGTTTAGGTGCTATATCGAAGAAAAGATTATTATCTGAATCTTTCATTTTAAGTAGCCATAATCTTAAGTTGCTCTGAAGACTCTTCCCATCGATCACTTGTACCAAATATTCCCACAGTAGAGAAATATGATTTTTCACTGTAGTTACATATAAAACTTAGTTATTTTTCTATCTTTTTTACTCGTATGGGTAAGAAAAAACATAA